ATATATATATCTTTAATACACTTCAAGGTGATTTTCAGATTAATTCTCCTTAATAATTAACCCCTGAGGCACTGGAGGAACTACAATTAGTAGAAAAAAAATTCTGTAAGTGTGGCAAGTGAATTGGGTCAATAATCTCCAGTGTCTCATTCTATGTATTTTAAGCACTCCTCACTCCCCTATGGGGCACTTAGGACAATTTTATGATTCCCAATTATTCCCTATTGAATCGCTGTACCTTCCTAATCAAAGTAAAACTTTACATGTGCTCACTAAATAAATAGCAAAAATTGTACTAGCTGGCAGAACTCGTGGTAATCAGCTATTTGGCTGGCAATGATCTTTCTTTGATTATTTTACCCTTAGAACTATCTCAGTATTCAACCTTGTCACAACAAATTTGTAAGTTAAATTGTCAGTCATTTTCCCAATAACCCCATCTTACAATTCTCTCTCTGACATCCATGCACGATTCCTCAGGTTACATGACTATATCCTATTCCTCATGCACAGACTTATCTTACGGATGGCAGCCATCTAGAGTGTCTTCCAACATGTCATTTTTAACCCCTGGGCTTTCAGCTCAGAGATGAGAAATAAATAACTGCTGTTGGGCCAGGGATTTCGCCCAGTCATTCCATTGCCGGCTTCACAAGTGCAAGGACCTGAGCCTGATCCCAAGTACCAAAAAGGAAAAAAGAAAAAAGAAAAAAGAAAAAAAAACCTTGTATTGTGTATACCATAGAACTTACTAAGGTGATCCCAATAGATATTATCAGTGACTCAGCCTATGTGGTGTTTCTTACCCAATGGCTAGAAAGTGCTACTTCAAAAGCCACCTTGGATCGTTCTTTTGTCAATTTATTTCTTAGGTTTCAACAGGCAATCCAGAACCACTCTGTTCACTTTTATATTGGAAGTATTAGGTCCCATTCTAATTTACCACAACCCTCGGTCTATGGTAATCAACAAGCTAATTCTTTGGTGGCTTATGTTGCTCCTTTTCACTTGGTGAGACGATCCCACTCATATCAACATCAAAATAGTAGGGCCCTAACAAAAGACTCAATTGTCTCATTTGCAGGCTAAAAAATTGTTTTATCATGTCCTACCTGCCAACACATCCCTTGTCCTATTCCTGCTCAGGGATGCAACCCTTGAGACCCTCAACAAAATAAAATTTGGCAAGTGAAAATTACTCATATTCCATCATTTGGATGATTTCAATATGTCCCTGTATGTCTCTATAGATCTATGCTACCTATCATAGAGGTGAAAAGCTGGTCATGTTCAACATTGTTTGTATTCACTGGTATGAAGTCTCATGCACAATTAAAACTTATAATTGTCCTTCATATATTAGTAAAGCTTTATCTTTCTTTTATCAGCTCTGGTATATTAAACATATTACAGGCATGCCCTATTATTCACAAGGCCAAACAATAGTTTCCTTAAAAATACAATTTCCTTAAAAATATAATTTCCTTAATAATACAATTACAAAAACAAAAAAGGAGCGTATGGCTACCTTCACAAGCTCAACTGGATCTTGTTACTTTCACTGTAAATGTTTTAAATCCACACGCAGAAAAAAATATATTTCTTCAGATCTCCACCGGCAAAAGGACAGATCTTCAGACACACCTAGAGCACAAGTTTTATAGAAAAATGTCCAAAAAGGAAAATGGAATGGCCCAATGCAACTAATAACATGGCAATAAGGGTATGCTTATGCACTGACAAATAGTGGAACTCCATTGAGTGTACCATCCCAGACTGTGTGATCATGGAGAGAGAAACATCCCAGCCCCATGGCAGGGCCTGCTAACATCCAGCCTGCCAGCGCAAGCATTCTTACAGATGATCATGGAAGAGATACCCAAGCCGATGATGACTCAGCCACTAATTTCTATGCAGGTAGTAAAACTCACAACACGGGGACAAGTGAAAACAACCCTGAAAGATGAAAAGCTGCTGGCAATACAGGGCCTCCTGTATACTCCAGAAAATATATTTGTTACCATGATGTCTATCATTGCCTGTGTTGTATATATAAGCCCAGGGTCTGGGAAAGAGTATTGGGCATATGTGTCTAAGCCCCCTGTGTTATGATCCCTTTCATGGACTGATTTTCCCACAGAAACAATCATAATCAATTGGACTGGGCTGTCTTTATGGATCCTAGATTTACGGATCCTGACATTTCCTTAAATATACATAAGACAAAAAAATTAGGACTGCTTGATGCTGGAATTGCTCATTTCTAGAGTTGCTGTATCCTCTGCAGCTCTTGTTCACTCTATACAGACTGCTAATTGTTTGGGGGGTTGGGAACTGGGGATTAAACTCAGGACCTCACACTTGCAAGGCAGGTGGTGGAACCAATGAGCTAAATCCCCAGCCCCAGACTACTCATTTTGTAGGTAATTGGCCAGAACTGCGGATAAGGCCTGGAATATACAGTACTTTTAATGCAAAATTATAATCACAAATTATTGTCTTAGAAAGTACTCTTATATGGATGAGGGGTCAGATAGAAAGCCTCCAGTTATAGCAAGGCCTTTGATGTCATTTTAATATTACTTGGTATTGTTTATCTCCTCTCAGGTACAATCAATCCACCCATCCTTTGGAACATATCAAAAAGCACATTCAAGGTGCTATTAATAATAATATAACTAAATATTTAGAAGCCTTAAAAAAGTATTATTTGTATCTCAAAAACTCAAAATTTTGATGAACATATTCTGGACTGGAATAAATTTGCTAACACTCTTGATCGATTTAATCCATGGAATTATTTCAAGGGCCATTTTGGATTTTATACTGGATTAGCTGTCCTAATATGTATGGGTCTCTTATTTTTGCTCCTGGCCTGTCACAGGGGAAACAACAACAATAACAATACCTATATGCTCTTCAATCTCAAGTCACGTTGTTTCAACTGCTGCAATTACAGAAACAAACAAACAAAAAAAAAAACGGCGGGGGTGCTGTTAGGTGACCAGGTTATGTGAGGAATTACTGGGGGCCAAATGTGATCTACCTTGGGAAACAGAAAAGAATAGGGAAAATTGTATGCTTTCTGGCTCTGTGTGGGAGTGCTAATAATCATAATACTCCCATGGAAGGATAACAATCTGCTGAGGACAATGTAGAGAATGCTAGTTCCTTATTAACTTGGGCAGGCGTCTGGGTATAGGGAACAACCTGTTCCATTTCACACACTTCCTTAGTAAAAGTTTAATCTGTTCCATATTTTTTCAAAATATCTTTTCAACTGCTATTGTTCTACAAATGCCACACACCGACCGCTATTGTTCCACAAATGATGAATGACCCACTTTCTCCTATGCTTCTTGCTAGCTACAAAAATTGAGTCAACTGTGGAGATTGTCAAATCTGTCCACTAGAGGCAGGCTTCCCTTGGTCCGCCTTGTACCTTGAATATTGTCTCTTTTTATTCCTCATCATACTCCACTCTCATGTATCTGGGGGTATGACCAGCCCCTGGGAATTCATCAAAGAGGATTTCCAGAACTGCTTCAGGAGGTAGAAAGAATGAACAGAACAAGTGGGTTTGAACTGAGGTGGAATATTGTGAGAGAGATTAATGGCAATGTGTCTTTTATGCTAATACTTATTAATTTTAAATTCACCATATTTTCAACACACTTCATAAGTATTATTTTAATAAGAATCTTTTTTGATTGCCTACAGATTTAGCTAAGCAGTGATTTACTTTAGCAGATTTTGAAGCATTTTGAAAATTTTTTTTACAAATGATTGAAAGAAAATACTTTTATTTTCAAAACCATTCTATACAACAATGAAATTCTGTAGGAAGTGTGGGTGGTTGTTTACCTGGGTGTGCCACTGAGCTCGGGTGAAGGGCTCTTTTCATTCCAGCTCTCATAAAGCGATTTGCCTTCAAAGCCTTCATCTGGGCTTTGTAGCTGCACACATCAAAAGGAAGCAAAGAGAATACTTACAGGTCAGATGAATTAAAACTTGTGTCCATTAAACAGGGAGTGAATAGCTAAGCTAGAATTCAGCAAGACAAGAGGATGTGACCTCTGTATCAGCTGTCAATTAAAAATTACATGGCTCAGGGTGTGGCTCAATAGTAGAGCCCTTGCCCCATATATGTTGCAAGGCCCTGGTCTCCATTCCCAGAATCAGGAAAAAACTTTAAAAAGAAAAAAAAAAGGCACATTACCAAATGAGGGTCATTGGATATGTTGGTCATATTTATGATTATGTACGCAGTTTTCTAAACTGAAGGATATACCTTTTAGAGACATATTTCTGCTTTGCATAAAAAATAAAAGCAGCAAGCTGGTAAAGGCAAAATATTCCTTTTACTTACTCTTGTCAGTAAGATTGTCAAATTCTTTAAATAATACATAATAAAATGCATTGTCATTAATATTTTATTTAATCAAGCAGTTATCTGTTGTAATTATGTTACCTACTTAGCTTTAAATTCATTTTATGAAGGTTATACTTTCAGGGATCATTTTTTTTCTTTCTTTTTTTTTTGTACTGAGGATTGAACTCAGGACCTTGTGCTTGTGAGGCAGGTGGCGGAGCCACTGAGCTAAATTCCCGGCCCTCAGGGATGACTTCTATAGTTTGTTACTAGAGAAGTTTCTCATTGTGTAAAAAAATGGCTTTATAGATAGAATACCAAGGTAGTAAATAACCGATGACCGAATTCTAGACTCAGAGTATTACATGCACCAAAAATACTTAGCATGATTAAATAATGTATCATTACATATAAGTACTTAAGTGATGCAAGCTATAAAATGTTTTTATGAAATAAATATAATACAAAAATTTAATCAAATGCATGTGTACTATGTTTGAGAACATTCAATTCAAAAAGTTCAGAGTACCTACACAATTTCGGATTTTTTTGTAGATGCCAAGGACACAGACTCCATTAGTAAAGCACATATGATGCTCTTTGCAGGGGAACCTTCAGCAAAAAATTTGGAAAACAGTGTACTCTGTGCTATAATAGATGCAACTGCAAAGGTTTACAGGGACATAAATTAAATTTTCAGAGTATGAAGAGAGTTGGAAGTTGGAACCTGTGACAATTTCCTAGCTTGTAAAATGTGAATAAAGAAAGAAACAATTACTTCACTAGAGTTTATAAATTCACAAATATTTGCTATCAGGTACTGTATACTCTAGTGAGAAATATATCTTTGAAATATTGTCAAATATATATTACTAAATTGTCAATTTATCGGCCAAATTTGAAATACTGCAAATCATCTTTCTAAAACAAAACAAAAATGAAACAAAAAATTTCAAGCATAACATATTTTAAGTCTAACCTAGAGGTCAAAGCTTTGTCAATTTTAACAGGATGCTATCAAATCAGCTAGTACACAAATTTTAAATTAAAATTAAATTTAAATTACCTGAATAGTGTGAATTCTCTGAAATAGCATGGTTTCATCTATTTAAATTTTTGTATTATATTTGATAAAATTACAGGAAAATGATGGATCTCTTAGTAACTAGGAAAATAGATGTTTCCAAATTAATTAATTTTTCCATTAATGAGAAATATGTGATCAAATTCCATGCTTTTGAAACCAAAGCTTAGTGACTTGTAGGTTTTATTTATAATTCTTCTCTGAAGGACTATAATTGTGTTCTTAGAAATTACATTTTAATTGTTAATTCTAGTCAACAAAAAGGTTTTTTGCTGTTGTTTTTCTTTATAGCTCAAGTCAGTTTCACATAATTAGCAGTGAAAAAAAAAACAAACAAAAAACGATATGCAAAAACTCCTTAGATTCGTCTAACATGGACCAGGACCAATGCAGTCAGGGGTGCTGTCCTATAGGAACTGATGAGTAACCTCTCGTCCAGGTTCAGTGCCTTCTGGTGTAAGCATTAAGATTAATGATGAAGTGTTAGGGCAGCCTCCTTGGGACTGGAGGATTGGACTCCAAGACCTAAGTTTAGAAAGGAACTACAAGGTCTCACCTCGTTTCTGCCCCAAAATGATTTGGTGTTTTTATCAATCAGCTTTTCGATAGCTGGGATGAAACACCTGTCACCCACAATGTTAAGGAGGAGGAGTTCATTGTGGCTCACAATATCAGAGGTTTCAGTCCCCGGCAACTGGCTCCAAGGTAGAAACATCATAGCGGAAGAGTGTGGTGGGGAAAAGCAGCTCAGTGCACGGTGGCCAGGAAGCGGGGCACAAGGAGAAGCCCAGGGAGAGATCTGCCCTCCAAAGGCACAGTCCCCAGTGACCCACTGCAGACTGGGCCTCACCTAGCTGCACATCCGGTTAGAACACCAGTGGATCAGTCTAGTCATGAGTGTAGTGGACCCGTGAGCCAGTCAACTCCCCAGGATTTCTTGACTCAGCCAAATATGACCTGGCAGTGTTTTTATGCATAAAAACTATTAAAACTATTTGCTCATTTTTATGCCCTGAATTATTAGATATCAAGGAGTATAATCCAGTTATGAAATTAAGGAGTTGTTAGATCATAGAATCAGAAGTCGGTTGAGGTACAGAGTAAGTTGTGTGACTTCAGTGACTGATTTTTGGGGGCTTGGTGTTCTTGTTTTCAAATGGGAGATGGGAGATGTAACACTACTTGAAGGCTGCCTCACAGTGTAGGAAGAGAGGAAGCAGTGTCTGTAAATAGTCTGAGGTGGGTTCCGTGGATATTTGTTATATGATAAAAAGACAAGTTCTAAAAGAACATCACTGTTTTGAAAAATAATGACATCTCAAAAATCATCACTTCTAGAACACAGAATACCATAAATGTAATTGTTTTTACCTCTTTTGTTAGATTGTATACTAAGCTGTACATCAGTGGTGTACAATCAACCCTTAGAGTGTAGTTTCCTGAAAAATAAAGAAAAAATAGATCATTTTTTATTGCATTTCTCTGTTATGTTTTGTTACATGGTACCGGGTATCGAACTCAAGACCTTGCACTTGTGAGGCAGATGCAGTGCCACTGAGCTAAATCCCTGCCCCTAGAATGATCCTTTGAAACCTAAATTTAATTAAACCTTCCAAGTCTTCTCACCTCATTCTGTAAAAACCATGATCTTCATCATGCCCTACAGTGTGTCATATGGGAAACAACCACTTCCTCTCTCTAAATCTTTATCTCCTATTCTGCCTCAGAACACTTCCTCGAGGTCTTTGCATACAGTTTTCTCATCTTGCATAACTTACTGCTTCTTTGGTCTCATATTTGCTGAGATGTTTCCCCTGGCCAGCCTACATGAAATAGCACACTGTCTCTACACCTTATCCTCGATATTTCCTTATTCCATTACCTTGGTGTTTTTTTTCCAACACTGGTCACCTAATATATTAAATACTTGTCTTCTTGTTATCCACCCTCCCTCCCACAAGACTAGAAGTTCCATGGAGCAAGTGCTCTTCTATATTTGCTACCATCTCGCTCCCATGTTTACAATAGTCTCAGCTTTTAGCATTTACCCAGTAAATACAGGAAGTCCCTGATTTATGAATGAGTTCCATTCTAGGAGACAATTCCTACATTGGATTCCTTTATAAGTCTGACAAAATGAGTCTTATACACCTTTGACCCAAATATACAATGTAAAGCATGAAAAGATCAAACACACACAAACACAGTACAACCCCAACTGTACTACACTTTTGTACCTATCACACTGAACAGTAAGCACACAGGAGCACAACTGTAATGATTATCTGGCAGATGCATCTACCTTGTAGATGTCCGGCATCTACGAGTGTTTTCAAGTTGAGGTCCACTCATATCTGTGGAAGGGGGCTTAGTGTGTCTGTAGTGACAGTGAATGCGTGAACCGTCTGCTCTGTAGCAGGTTCAGAAGGGAGAGCAGAGAGTGGAAAGGGCACCTGCACTGCTCAGGAAGGCAGAGCTGGTGGGTGCAGGGTCAGAGAATGATCCCGGAAGGCCTGCAGCCTGTGGAGGGATGCAAGGGAAGGGCTGCATCGTCTGCAGGTTTGCGGGGGAGGGGCAGCCAGCGATCGCAGGTCATGTGACTCTGCAACCATTTCCGAGAACCAGAAGGTTGGGGCAGCTGGGCCAAAAAGAAGTGGCATTCCCAGCTAAGGACACAGCCTCTACAGCAACGCCCAGAAACCCACACGCACATGCCTCACTTCGAGGATGCAAGTGGCTCTATCCAAAGCTTTCTGTCATATCTAAAAAGAGCCAAAGATGAGGCTTTAAAACTAATTAGTGACAACCCAGCAGATTTACAGAACTTGAAAAGGTGATTTTTCAAATTCCAAAATTCACCTGGAAAAGTTAAGATGCATAAGTGGCCAATGCAGTTTTTAAATACAGAAATGCTCTTATAAAAGAAGGTGGAAGAGAAAGGGAAGGGAAAGAAGATATAAAAAACAATTGATATGTACATGTGCCAACTCCCCATGGTGAATGCAATCAGTGTGTTTTATAAATATGTACTAAGAAAAAAACAAAAGAACAAAATTGTCTTTAAAAGAGTGTAAACTGGAGAGGGGGACAATTTGGCAGAATTTACGACAGCTTCTGTACACATATCCTAGGATCAAACAATCATACTTGCAGTTCTGTACCCTCCTTTTACCTTATAGACTATGATATTGAGACATGCAAATAAAAAACTATTATCTGAAAAAAACTGAAATAGTCAAAGAATTGATACATACTTGGTCGACAGAATATACTGCAGAAATTCTTTCACTGCTTTGTTTTGTTTTTGTTTCCATTTTGGTTTGCTATTTTCTTTTTCTTTCCTTTGTTTTTCAGTACTAGGAATTGAGACCAGTGAGCACTGAGCTAATCCAGCCCTTTTTATGTTCCAGCTGTTTTTATGTTGAGACAGGATCTCACTAATTCGCTCACTCTAGGTTCAGACTTGCCATCCTTCTCCCTCACCCTGCTCAGGAGCTAAGATTTCAGCTGTGTGCATTGCACCCAGCTTGTTTTGCTTTGCAAGTGAAGTAGATCAGCAGGTATCAGGGACACGGAAAGTATTCTACCATAGGTCTGCAACATGCTACCGAAGGACAAAGAGAAGCGGTGTAAACATTTGGCTATAATATGAGACCAAACAGCTAAATGAGGCAGTAAGAAGCAATGGCAGATAAAAGTTAGAAGGACATACTGGGATCCACCAGATCAACCTTGTAAACAGCTCATAACGGCTAAACTATACAACTTCTGTGTTAGATTCTGAAGTCCCCTGTACCTTCTCCTTATCCCCTTTGTGGCCTATATTCTTAGCAATCCTGCTGACCTTATAATTTGGCCCAGGCATTCTTCTTTTTTTGGTACCGGGGATTGAACTCAGGTCCTTGTGCTTGCAAGGCAGGCCACCGAACCGCTGAGCTAAATTCCCGGCCCTTTGGCCCATGCATTCTTAACATGTTTCTTTGGCTTTGTCTCCTCCAGACTTAAAAGCTATGCAGCTATGAAGATGACAATGCCAGGTGCCTAGGGAAGGCCATTAGACAGACCCTCTGTAGAGTAACTCTAACTGCTGATCACAACTACGACCCTCTTCAGCTGGAAGAAGCCAGAGCTGTCTTTGTCCTTTGCCCTCTCACAGCAGTTAGGGGTACTTTTTCAGAGGGGGGGAATACTGCTGATAGGTAAGTCAATTAGATATCATGTAGGCAGTTAGACAGGGCCACCCTTGAGGAGCCAACAAAGCAAGGAGACAACATGGAGGATAATACATTCATTGTGGCCAGAAATATAAAAGGAAAGAAACTACTATACTCTTGTGTTTCCCCTGGGGATAAATAGCACTGATTGATCTTCTAAACAGGTCACCTAGGTGGGGGCCAAGGTCTTAGCCCAGCCTTTCCAGGAAATATCCCTGAACCCCACCCTTAATGAAAATCCTTGTAAGCTTGCTATGTGACTTGCTCCCTATTTGACCCCCATTTAATCAATATTACCTGGGTGACTGTACTTGTAATCTTATTGGTTGGTCATGGTTTGCCCCACTTAATGTCCACCTTATAATTTTCCACTGGGTCTTATAGTTTAGTCCCACTTTTGAACCCACCGCGTCACATGGTTTTGCTGTATAAAACATCTTGTAGAAGTGGGTTGAGCGGGCAACCCACTCTCTGGTCCCCCTTCTGTCTCAGACAGAAGCTTTCTTTCCTTCAATAAGTTTTTCCTACTCTTAAAACAAAACAAAAAAAGACGTTAGAAGGACAGAATAGAAGCAGTCTAGTTTTGAGTGTAAGCTAAACCCTTGCTAACTGTGTGGCCTTGGGAAAGTTGCTTAATCGCTCTGAGTCTGCTTCCTTTTTTATACAGCACAGATGATAGAAGCACTTAATCTCACAGGATAATTGAGAGTGTTACATAAAATTTAATAGGTAAAACACTAAAGATGACAACTTCTATACTACCGGTACTCTGTGTGAGCTACACTGTGTTTCTGAATGTTAGCACAAGTAAACACCATTAGCTGAGGACCCCAGTGGGAATTATTCCCCTTTGCAGAATGGTTTATGCAGGGAGTATTTACTTGTCCTTTTTTTTTTTTTTTTTTGGTACCAGGGATTGAATTTAAGATGTTGCGCTTGTGAGGCAGGTGCAGTGCCACCGACCTAAATCCCTGGCCCACTTGTAAATTTTTAATGTAATAAATTCAAGAAAAATTTGTATACTGTAGGGAAAAATAATCATTTAACAAATTTTTAAAATGTAAAACAAAGTGAAGCGAGTCTCCAGTCCCTTCTTTCCTTTCCCCTACCCCTCCCACTTCCCCTTCCCCTTTGCTCCTTTTCTTACTACTTCACATTATCTTTTTTGCCTTTTAGTCCTTATTTACACTTTCAGTTTCTCACAGCAGAGAAACTATTCAGTATTTACACGTATGTCCTATTTATTTCATTTAAAGGTATAGCCTCAATGTTCATCCATTTAGCTATAAATGTCTCTAATTTCTCATTCTTTATGGCTGAGTAGTACTCCATTTTACTTTTAAAACCCACATTTTCTATCCGTCCCTCATTCCTATATTCCTTCACTCTTGGTATCCAGACAAGAGATAATTATTTAATGACATATTAATGACATAATCAATGAGTAGACTAACAACACACTGCTTGTTCCCTGATGAAGAACAGTTTAGCAAAGGAGGCTGTTTGTAATGCAAATAGTGATTTAACAATGTCAGTGATGAGTACTAGAAAGTTACAGCTTTGCTGATTGGTACAGTTACGAGGAAGGTAAGGATCACACTGCAGGAGTGCATGCAGAGCAGTCTGAGTGTAGAGAATGACAGTAGCAACTCCTAGAGGGCTGCACAGCACAAGGAACGGAGGAGAACTGAGGGGCTGGTGTAGTGACCAAGGGCTGTTTCATTTTAGTGCAAATCCACCCAACATATCTGCTCCTCTGACCGTCTGCTTTCTAAAAGCATTTTCATTCTCCTAAATCCTTCCCTTTCTTCAGTCTTGCCTGGAGTTGCTCTTATTCCCTCCCCTGAAATCCCAGAGCAGTCTGATTAAATAAATCCCTGTACAGTGCCCGCATAGGCTGTAATCCAAGACTGATAGATTTTACCATCTGTGCTGAAGCATAAACTCCAAATTCCAGACATCCCTGGGAAAGTATAGCACCCAGAGATTAACTCGGTGAACACTAGTTAAATTAAAGAAAAACACAAACGTAAAAACTTTTGGTGAAAGACAAAATTGTGGAAACCGGTACTTTTACAAAACTGGTATGCATGATATCATGATGAGTCAGGGTTAAATTTAAAGGTTACTTTCTAAATATGCCATTGTAAAGGCTAAAACGCTTTTAAATTCATGAGTTATTCACTCAACAGGTAAAGCAAATCAAGGAAACGCTGCTTTCCTGAACCACCTTTCTACAGGGAAAAGCAAATGGGAAATTTCAAAAAACAAAAACAAAGAAAAACTTGTCCAGGGCTCACACACAGCTGAGTCAAAGGTGGCGGCAGCAGCTTCCCTAACCAGGAGCTAAGGGGTTACCGACCCCATGGGGAGCCTGATTTACTAACGAAACTGCTGCTTCTAACACAACCACATGTTCTCTAAATGAGGCCAGTGATATTTACCTTCTATAGAAGAATCAGCATTAACATAGGCCACACCACGCTCTTGAAGGAGCCTGGAATTCTCCTGTAATAGAAAGACAGAAAGCCATAAGTGTATGTTCATGCCCCCAGGCAGAGGCACATGTCTGATCGCTGCATGGAGAGTTCTGCATTAAGCTAGCTTACTTGAACCACACATTTGGCATATAGGATTCACAAGACAGTTAATTTGAAAAAAAAAAAAAAGTGAATAAAGGTAAATAGTACTAAACAACAAGCAAAACTTTTTAAACTAATATTTAAGATAAATCTATCCACCTACTGATATTAAGTGGAAAAGGAGTTAATTTTTTAATCACACTAGTTTGTCCTTCAAAGTTTGCTCAACATATGTGAATTTTGTATCAGGCATTTCAATGGAAATCTTCCCAGAAACCTATCATTATTTAAGCAGAAAACCTTGCTTGGTTCACAAGGAATGAGCTATTTCAAAATCAGGGACTAAAAAATTTATGAAGTTAAAGCATAAAGACAAGGTCAAGTTCTAGTGTGTGATACCGCCACCTACTGGTTACAACTGATAATTGCACCTTTTAAGAACACTAACAAATGTAGCAAGTACTTTTTTTGGAATATCATGAAGATTTTGATTCTCCAAAACATGCAATTTCCTAAGCATTATGACTGTAAGCTTAAAATTGGAAAAAAAATATGCAATCCTTAATGATATAAATAATTTAAAAGGAAAAGAATCACACCCTGAAAATGGGCACTTCCTGACTCTCCCATGAGTCTTGTTTGTAAAAGCTTCAGCTTGATCTAGAGGAACACAAACTTTTTCAAAGAAAATTGAAGTTTAAAAGGTTTAATATCATATCTGGAGTAATATGTGTATACATCATGACAGGAAGTTAATGGAATAAATACTAACACTCCATAATACGTTATAGCTTATGCTTCTATTGCATAAAGTCATAATAAATGCAGATAAAATTGCTATTCAAGGGGCCTAGTAAACATGCTGGGGAGGACATTCTACCTCACTTTTAGCATTCCTTAATACAGAGTAGGTAATTGTGATAAAGAAAATACTGTAATTATAAATATTAGACCTTACTGTACAAGCTTAAGGGACATTTAAAATGGTTAGTATTTGGGGCAGTTTTCCAAAGCATAATACAATTACTATAGAAAGCAAGCATGAGCTGTTGCTTGGCTTCTAGTATCTCAGTATTTACTATCATGGTACCAGAAAATAAACTAATTTTATTTTTATTACTTATTTAGTTAAGTTTTATGAGACACAGTCTTGCTATGTAGTTCAGGCTGTCCTTGAACTCACTATGTAGCCCAGGCTGGTCTTAAACTCATAGTGATCCTCCTGGCTCAGCCTCTTGACTTCTGGGATCACAGGCGCATACCTGTATCTTGCTGTGCAGTGAGATAAATTAATTTTAACAGTTGGCATTGTGTCTCTGAAAAAGTTCAAAACCAAACTTACTTCTTTAGAGGAGATAAAGTTTTTCTTGTTGATTTTTGAACAAGGATATATTGCTTCAAATGTTTTTGAAAAAACCTTGAACATTTTGTCATTGGATTCACTTGTTATTGTTGTATGATTGATAATAAGGTCCTAACTTGATTTTTCTTTTCAGTTTTTACTTGGTATTATGAAAATTTATGTTGTAGCAATTATTGACTAACCTCTGCCCACTCTGTAGAGCCAAGAAGACCATATTCTTCTGCATCCCAGCTTGCAAACAAAATTGTTCTTCTAGGCCTCCATCCTAAAAATATGTGTATATATACAATCACAGGTAAATGCTAGAAAATGCATAATAAACCTATAAGACATTTTGAAGCCTAAATGTGTGAAAACATTAAAAAAAAAACCAAACTTCATTTGCTGGCTAGGAAATGTGAGTTGTGGTAAAAATCTTAACTACCACAACTTCTTTTTGGAAAGATTGTGAAGGTGATTTGTCAAAGGGGAACTGCACGACTGTACTAAAAGGAGGGAAATGTAGACAGGAAAACTTAGCAAGGCCATAGTTATACTAGTAGTAGGTTTATTCTGACTGCATTGGCAGCCACTGTGGCCTACAGCTGCCAAAAGTGAAAGACATCGGCAGGTGCCATCAGTGTTGTGATGGCAAAAACAACTGAGAGAAAACCCTTCAGACGTCTTCTCTGTCCCTGTGACACAAGAACAGTTGCTTAGTGGGAACTGGTTGTGTGATTTCTCTGTTCTTTGGCAAAACTAGTCATCAGGGTTTAGTTAGCAATGGCAATGCTTGCTGCTCCGGAAACAGGGAAGTCATGTGACTTGCACATTATAAATACCAGCCTTGGAGTTGAAGAAAGATCTGGTTCTTTCACCTACTAGCAGTGTGATAGAGAGAGCTTCTGCAGACTGACCGAATCTCAATTTCTGCACCGGCATAGGAGGAGGAACAGAGGGAAGGAGAAGACACATTTCACTTTTGGGAGGATTCAGTGGAATCACATCTACAACACATTAGTAAGTGCTTCAAGAATTGTAAGTTAAATAGGAAGAAAATGGGTAAAGGGGAAGTGGAAAGAGGAGGGAAAAGGAAACAGGGGAAAAGGAAAAATGTGAAAAAGGAAAAAAGGAAACAAAGTCTTTGTAAATAGGAAAGGGTGAAGGGGGTGAAGGGTGGGCAGGGATATTGGAGAAAAACAAGAACCAAGACCTATGTAAAGGTACAAGATCCCAATGATAAATGTAATGGTATTGTTTGCTTTAAATGAACCAATAAACTTAATGGAAAGGAAAAAAAGAATTTTAAGTAATCATTATGTTAAAAATATCGTTGGTGTGTTTATTAAGAATGTTTATCCTATAATTGTTGATCCAGTGTTTTACTTTTGTCAAATTTCTCAACAGTATTATTCAAATTTCTTACATATTATTCTTCATCATTTCATTCATTTAATGTACTCCATAGTTGCCATAGGTTTGCATTTACCACAGGGATTTAATTGCAAAATCATAAAACTTCTTTTAAGCAAGATTAAACATTACCTAACTCATGGATATGCAAATTCAGGTCAACAATTCTTTGTTTTCTTGTAATGTAAGACAGCTTTGTGTGCAAAAATAATGGAGACACTCTACATTTTATTATAAATAGAGGCAACATATTTTTGTGGCCTGGTAGCTAAAACTTTGAGTGTGCAGTCTGGTTTTCTCACTCTGTCACACAATATCGGAACTTACATAATGCTGCACCGATTAATTCTCTGTATCTTGCTTGACTTATTCATAAAATGAGAATAGAAATAACTAGTTAGACCTTTCTCTGGTTGCTATGATTTGAAAATAGTTTACACATATGACTATTTTCAAATCATCTTTTTCTAAGAAAATCACTACTGTGCAAACTAAAAATATTTTCACTGTTTTTATGGTTGTTCAAAATATATGGTTTACATTTTATAGCCCCAAACACCTTCTTTACAGAGTTAGTAAAGAGAATGGATTTTCTTCTCTCACTGTGCAGTGATTATTTTAAAGAGCAATCATTTGAATTAAGTTTTTTATTTTGGTTTTCATATGGAGAGTCTAGGATGATAGAATCAGTGGTGTAAAGAGGATGGAATGTGTGAACACGGACCCCAAACTTGGCATAGAATCCCATGAACAGCAAGACCAGGATTTTTCTGGAAGATTTTTTCAGTTCCCCAGCCCATGTGGCTCAAGGTTGGAGGCCAGAGGAACCTGGGCTGTGGGCTCTATAAGTGAATGAAAAAAATAAGTACAGTGGGAAGGGTAGGGGAAAGGTAGTAAGGGAAAAGAAAAAAATGAGAAAATGAAAACGTGGAAATAAAATATTTGTAAACAGGGAAGGGAGAAGGGGGTGAAGGGAGGGCAGGGACAAGGGGAAAAAATGAGAACCAAGACCTGTCATGTAAAGGTACAAGATCCCAATGATATATGTAACTGTACTGTATACCTAGCATGTACCAACAAACTCAAAGAGAGAAAAAAATAAGTAAACAGTGTCATTAACTGGCATCAACGCCTGTGTTGGTATTTTCACCAGTATGTGGTAATGGTTGAGGTAGTATTTTTAGATCCACTTTAGAGAAGACTAAACTGAGACTCAAAAGGAAGCTAGTCTTTTCCTCTTTGTTTCCCTTACCTTCCTTTTTCAGTTTTCCAAAGCTTCTCACAATTTCATGAACCACAGCTGCTCCACTCTGAGGGTCAATGCCACCAAACACCCACGAGTCTCGGTGACCCCCAAGGATGACATATCTGTCTAAAAAGCAACATCTTACAATTATGTGTTATCTTGGTTTTTATCATCTAACAAATTGCAAACGATTCAATAGCATCTCAACATAGGTCACTCAGAACTTAAGTGAAACAGCCAAGCTCCCGGAGGTTTGTGTAAACTTCTCATTCCTTCTGATGGGGGCGTTACTTCCTCCACCTGAAGAAAGCATGAATGTCAGAAAGAAAATTATACCTCAGGACTAAGCGCAGGAGTCACTATAGGAAAATACGAAATTACTCTGACCTGCCTTTTCATGTAGCTTCTCTTGTCCCTCTCACCTCGCCACACTGTTGCCAAGTTTCAGAGGAAGAGAACACAGTTCACTTTCTACTCTGATTTGACTTTCAAGGTACAGCTCAAAAACCTTCCCCCTCTATTAACATTTTTTTATTTTCCATAGGAAAGGAGAATTGCTCTGCCTGTCTCGTTCTCAATTTTTTCCACATCTTTTCACATGTAAGTGGGGTATATTCCCAGACTGTGAGTCCTCTGTCCCTTTGTTTCTGTCTTCTTAAAATCCCAATGTTGGGCCCAGTGATTATACATCAAGCGTATATGTCTGGTTACATAACTGCTTGGCAGTCACTGTAAGGATACTAATATCCTTGATCCTTAAATGAAAGTGTGTGCTATAAGAAACAGAGGCAATTTAAGTATATCTGATTTTGGAAGACATATATAATAAGCAAGTTCTTAAGGAACTGGAACATAACAAACTAAGACTACATATAAAATGAATTAATCAGCACATCATCTGAAATCACATGAAAATCATGTATCTACAATATTTATGGCTTTAGTGTGTAAAATAACACTATATAAAGAATTCCTTAATTCAATATTATCTTAATTTTCTGAGTGCTATCTTTTGTACAGGTGTCTATAGTCCTCATGAAGATATTTCATTATGCAAAATATACGGTAAGGAAATCCAGAAAACTCAGAGAAAATACCTCAAAACTCACTCTCTCATCATCTCCCTTTAATCCTTCAATTGAATCACACACAGTTAACACTCACCTTGGTCATCTGCCCAACCCTGCTCAAACATTCCCTTTTCTTTTTGGTTTTACATGTATGACAATGCGAGAATACCTCATGTTTATCTATTTTATCCTTGGATAGATTTGTTAGGGCAAAGACTTGCTTTTCTTTGTTTCCGTTACACTGCAGAGCTTAGAGCAGGACATGGCACACACGAGTTGCTCAGTCAGTATTCACTGAGCACATGATTCACTCACCCGGTTCCACTGCTCCTCTGAGGGTTCCTATCACATTGTAAATTCTGGTCACTTTACTGTTGGAATGGATGTGCATCCTGACTTTTCTAATGCAAAAATAAGGGTCACAGTCTTACACATGTTGGCTAAGAGATTAACAGCACACATTTTGAAATCTTCCATCACTGTTTAAAATCTTTCTAATTGTACAAAAGCAAAACTCACATTGGCCAGTTTCATGACCTAAAATGATTTCCCTCTTCAATATCTGGTTCTGTTTCCTGCCGGTACTCGGCAAATTTTACATTTCTGTCATTCTCAATAGTTGTATTCGTTTTTAAGATTCCACATAGGAGAATTAAAATTAAAAGTCTCTTAACTGTGTAGAAAAGCTCCCAGTAAAGCCAGGTCCCACATTGTAGGGTACTTTGAGGCTTCCTTTCCAGCTGCTATCTGGTGGTGCTGAGCCGCCCATGTGTCTGTTGGACACAAAACCTGTTATTAGCTGAAGATGCACTTACACGTAAGAAATTAAAATATCAATTCATTTACTTCCTGGAACATCTGCTTATAACAGCTTCTATAAGTGACAGACAGTGCAAAAAGCTTTAGATATGCCATTTAACCCTTACTAAACCTCCTGTAAGATAGGGTCAATTATTACTCCCACGTTACCGATGAGCAGCATGAGGCTAAGAGTGATTAGATAACTCGCCTAAAGTCACGCACCTGGTAAGTGGCATCACTTCGATTCAAGTTATTGGCAAGAATTTGAACTCTGCATTAATAATATCTGATAATAAATTATATCAAAAGTGTTGTGCAGAGCATGGTCTGAAAAAAGAATTCAATGTCTACCACTTTGGAATTTTCCATTTGTCCTTTCTCCCCCTGGTAACCACATTCTCAAATCTGTGTGCGGCCATCCTTTACAAAGTACTCTCTCACACATGTGCTAGGAAGAGAAGAGCAAAGGAAAGGATTTTGATTCAGCTAGCACCTCCTTAAAGCTTCATGCTATTTTCTTCTCATTTGAAAACGTGGACTTGGGTGATCAGCTTCTATATGCCACCGGCCTCTAGTAATGTCTTAGCAGACGACTAAGAAACATAACAGGTAAGGTTTGCCATGGAGCGATGGAGTTCTTGTCGTCTCCCTTTTCCGCACCTGTCTGCAAGGCATTCAGAGCATGGATCAACTAATTCTTAGTTTGGGCATGAACATCAAACCTGCCTTTACTGAACAGCAGCAGACAAATAAATATGGTTCCACTTAAACTTAGGAAGCTAACTGAGGGTTCAAAGTGAATACTTTCTACCTTAACTACATTTAAGCGCTGATGAAAATCCAGCTGCAAGGCAGAAACAGACCCGTTTGGGCCTGCGGGGCCCTTTTGTTGCCATTTTAAATGAATATTCCAAACCTTAAATGCATTTCCATAAATAATGCCTGGATAAATGTTATTTGAAACTATACTGAGATGTTTAAATACAAAATGTGGAGCTGAAATCTTCAGTGTACGTTTTACTCGGGTCACAAATCTCTACACTCTATGCTTTGCAGCCGGGCCCACTTTACAGTCTCCTGGTTTCTCCTCTCCCTGACACAGGTGCTTGAGCCAACGTGATAGCTCAGCCTGACCTAGAGTAACTAAACAGTCAGTAGGGTTACCCTTCCCAGGAAAATAGCTGGACATAATATTCTATTTTTAAGAGTTCCCTTGAATAGGAGATTTGTCCTTTTTTTTTTTTTTTTTTTTTCCTGTCTCACTAGGGAGTTTGGCTAAAAAAATAATCAATTTCAAGTAAGTGACTATATAATTATTTATTTACAATACATTTTCACATAAAAACATCAAGTATTATTAAGGGGCATTTTACAGTTAGAAAGCAAAATCCATAGTCAAAGTATCAGAGCATCAAATATTCAAAAAGTTGCAGAAGGCAAGTGAAGAATACATACACCTGTGATTACACATGCAATGTTTCTGCCATACTATTAGCTAATAATATTGGTTTCTTTGGGTGTAGAATACATCAAATGTAAACTTTTGCTGGAAATCTCTTTAAATTTTAGCTTTGTAAATGCATTTCCTTTTCAAAATGAAACATGAAAAGCAAAATAAATTAATCAAAAAGAATAAGCAGCTATGGATTACAAACCAGAAGGGTAATGAGCCATCACTATTGTCACAAAACAATCAAATGTAATGCTGAGATTGTAATGGCCCCACAACGTCAGGTAAACAGGTGATTAGAACACAAATTATAGTTATGTACAACGATTTCATATATGAATGAAGGAAATGAAACCCATGCATGGAAAAATGGAGGCTTTAATCGATAAGTGTTACTGAGCTAGAAATGTACATAGATCCTTCCTTCACTCCATCAATTAAAAAAAAATGAAGGCACAGAAGTACACATCTGTAATCCCAGCACTGAGGGAGGCCGAGGCAGGAGGATCATAAGTTTGAGTCCTACTTGAGAAACTTAGTTAAACTCCATCTCAAAATGAAAAATAAAAATGGCTGGAGAAAGAGTGCAACGGTTGAGCATCTGTGATTACAATACCCAGCGCTGCAAAATAAGTAAATGAAAACCATGAAAATTAAAATGTTGAATATTAACTTATCAAACCCTAAAAATACCAGATACTGTAAATAAAGTATAGATACATCTCTGACAGGACTTGATAGATTGATGCTCCATAAATATGTATAAACACTGTTGAATTTAAAAACCTGGAACTTCCAACATATTAATTCTGATTTTACCTTTGCCAAAGATTTATCTATTATGCCAAATGTGCTATGATCTACTCAACAAGGAATAAAAAATACGTACAAGAATTGGTATTTCCACCCAAGAGTTTATAATCACCCAAGAAGAAGATACATATAAAACCAACTATAATATATAAAACAGAACATGAGGATGACACATAAAGTTCTATAGAAGAGGTACAAAGGAGTGCTCAATTCAGCTTGGGCTTAGGGACTACTTTCTAGGAGGTTTCTTTTTATCTGGATTTTAAAGGATAAGTAAGAACTAGGCATGGGGAGATGCAGTTGAAATGCATCCCAGAGACAGAGTATGACACAAGGAGGTATGAAGACAGAAAAATACAGAGCCAAGTGTAAGCTACGATGACTACATGATTCATTACCACAGCTCGAGAGAAAAGCTTAAAAAGGAGTGGAACTGTGCTTCTGGGAAGATGCAGAAATGTGTTTCACTTATTCCTTCTTTTAAGTATAAGTAAAATTCCTGGGGGTAATTATATGCAAATGACTCTGAAGGGTGGAGAGAAGAAATAAAGCAGTTAGGGATCTCACAGCCCAAGGAATGATCCAATGGCAAGTTTCCACAGATGCTGCAAAACCAGAAATGCCAAGTGGCACACACAGAACACGCTACTCAAATGCAGGCAAGTTCCATATTTTTCTCAAGTGCACATGGAACATATTGCAAGACAGATCACATATTAGACTGTAAAACAAGTATGAATAAATAGAAAAGGTTGAAATTATTAGCCCTTTCCATAGGCATGCATTTTTATATCAATCTAGCCACAATAAAATAATTTAGTGATCAACAAATTATACATGTACATTTGAAAAATCCACGAATACATCAAAGTCGAACTGACCTCTCAGTAACAATAGGTCAAAGGAAAAAAATCACAAGTGCAATTAAAAATATTCTGAGATAAAGGAAAAGAATGACACATCATTAGAAAGCACACATTAAAAGCAGTCCATGGAAGAAAATGCATCGTTGTAAATATGCATATTTCAAAAAGCAGATCAGTCTTAAATCAGTAATCTTTCCCCTTAAGAAACTGGATAAAGAAGAGCAAACTCAATCGAGAAAGCATAGGAAGGAAATAATAAAGATTGAAACAGAAATAGTTCTGTAGAGTAGAAAAAAAAAAGAGAAAAATCAGTGACACTAGAGTTATTTCTTTAAAAGATCAACAAAACTGGCAAACCACTCATCTGACCAAGTTATAAAGGGGATACAACTCCAAAGACTAAGGTCAAGAACACAAGAAAAGACATTATTATGGATGACAGAAACCAATGTAAAATAAAGAGCAAAGTAAAAGAAAACAGGAAGTAGGGAGGCAGAGCTTTCTCAGAAGGGAAGAGGATCCAGAGATGGGGGCGGGGAGAAAAGAGAGAAAAAAGGGATGAAAAACAGGAATAAAGATGAAAAGGGGATAAAGATGTGTTATGTACATGTAACAGTTTCACACAAGGAATGGAAACATTATGTACTGGAAACATGTACTAATAACATGAGACATGAAAGTATTTTTAATGGAATACTATAAACATTTGGATACTATCAAATTAAATAACCTAGGTGAAAACAATTAATTATGAAAGAGGCACTAACCACCGAAACTGACAAAAAGAGAAAAAAAATATGAAGAGTTTATGACAAATAGAGAGACTGGATAAGGAATAGAGACTTCCTACAAAGAGGAGCTGAGTACCAGACTGCTTGAGTGTCTAATTGTGGTAAATATTTAAAGGATAAAAAACAAATCTTCACATATTCTTACAAGAAATAGAAGAGCAAAATTTCCAAAGTTATTCTCAGTAGCAAATAATACCTTGACACCAAAACTGGACAAATCACAAGAAAACTATAGACTCATATCCCTTTCAAACAAGGGCACAAAAATTCTCAATACTAGAAACCATTTTTCTACAGTATAAGCAGTGCAACCACTACTTTCATCCTTTTCAAATATAAATACACTTTATTTACTAATATGTTTGGACAAATGCATAGTCCATGGCGCCCTCAAAGTTGCACCTAATCTTTTTTTTTTTTTTGTACCAGGGATCGAACTCAGGTCCTTGCACTTGTGAGGCAGGCAACAGAACCACTGAGCTAAATCCCTAGCCTGCACCTAATCTTGAATCTTAACTCATTTGGAAAAATAAAAGCCTCAAATCAAAAAATAAAACCCAACCAACCAAACAAAAACCAGAATACTTCCTTAAACTGTCTTTAAAGTGGATGCATACTCCCAACTTTCTGAATATCAGCCTCCTCATCTATAAACATGAGGGCCTTGCACTGACGAGGTCCTACCTGCCTTCTCATAGATCTAGAATAATATGGTGAAGAAGGCTTTGAACTCAAAAAAGAAAAAGGGCAAACTGAACAGATGCTTTCAGAACAGCCTGTTCTTTCCAGTCCTACAGGACAGTGGAGAAGGAAGAGATAGGAGACAGTACAGCAGGAAAGAGGGAAGAGCTCCCGGGCCAGCTTAACCAGTGATAAATCTGTAGAAAGTTTAATATTAAAAGCAGAGAAGGAAGAGGAATAGAAATAAAAACAAAATACGAGTAGATTTCACATTGGGTTATTCTGAGTCCTTCAAGAAATAGAAAATAAGAGAAATACGTAGATAAGAGATTTATTAGGGAAAAAGCCTGTGAAAGAAATAAGTAGGGAGCTGGGGGAGGGCTGAGAAAGCTATCAACATGCAATGGAGAAAGAAAGGGGAAACAAAGGAAGAAAGGAAGATGGAGCGAGTGCATCATCTACTTAAGCAAGGTTGTTGAGAGATCCACAAGCCAAAGTCTCACACCCGAAAAGTCCTGTGACTCCCGGAATACGCCTGTCTTAGCATCCTTGACATATTCAGTCACTGCCCGGGACCATCTACAGGAAGCACAGCTGGGACACAAAGAGGATGCTGGGTTCCAAAGCACAGTGTACGAAGGAATTGATCAATTATGCTCTCCGCAGTTAAAGATGGCTGTCATACACGAGATACCCATCCATTAACTACATTGCAGAACTTAAATCACCAGTCTATAAAATGATGGTGCAACTACATGCTCCACCCCTCTCCAAGAATATCAATACCCCCTCAAAAAGGAGATAAAAGCACAATATACGGAAACTTCCAATAATGAGAATTTCTCAAACTGCCATGTCTGTTTCTTGCAAACTTACTCTAGCAGTCTCTGAGCATCATAGTATCCAATCGGATGAACAGGAATATTCGGAAGGCCAACAGCCTCCGCAATGCCATGCCTATAAGCATATTCTGAAAGTAAAATGAACACATTTCCAATTAAAACTCAATCTCTTTCAAACAGATACCTGTAAATCACATTAAACACAGTTTAATTTTGCTTCTACTTGTATTGGTAAAAAAGCCATAATTCCAAATGTTAGCAAGAATGTGTAGCAATTGAAATTTCATACATCCCTTGTCAGAGTTTGAAAAGCAATGTTCAACTGAAATGTGCACTATGGCAGACAAAAGGCATAATAGATATTGTGAAATAGGAAGAAAAGATCCAAAGGGGAAGGGGAAGTGGGAGGGATTGGGGAAAGGAAAGAAGGGAATGGAATTAATATGAGAAAATGAAAAAAATGGAAGCAAAGTCTTTGTAAATAAGGATGGGTGGAGGGGTTGAAGAGAGGAAAGGGAATGGGGAAAAATAAAAATCAAGATATATTATGTAAAGGTACAAATTTCCAATGATGAATGTCATTATATTGTATATCTAAAATGTACCAATAAAATTAATTTTAAAAACATGAAAAACATATATACATGAAAGGATCTTGCAAAACATTTAAATCAGTCACATTTATATTATGCAACAAATTTCTGACCATAGGACAAGTAACCAATCTATGTATGGCTCCACAACACAATGCTACTCAACAATTAAAAGAAATAAACTACTAAAATGTGCTAACATGGAAAAATCTCACCTTGTTACTTTGAGAGCAGCATGTTAGGCCCAAAAGAACACCAACCATTTATATTTATGTGAAGTTCAAAGCCAGGCAAACTAATATATGGTGCTATATATAAAAAAGTGGTTGCTTTTAATGGGTGAGTCGAAAATTGACAGAAATAGACAAGCAAAAACTTCCCAGAGTGATAGAAATGCCATTTTATTTTGAGTGACATGGCTTTCCAAAATTGACTGCAACTTTCAAAACCTATGCAATTTATAAACTTTATTAAACTGAACTCAAGAATCTTTGATTTTATTGCATGAAACTTTACTACCAAATAAGTATAGACTGATATATTTTCAGATTTAAGAAAAATTAAAGCTCTATTTTCTCTTTTTTCCTCTAAGTTCTTAAATTATCTAACAATAAAAAATGTAGGCAATTGCACAAGTTTATTATTTATGAGTAAAATGATATAATGATATAGTATATGAAACTTTGTTTTCTAATTCTTTAAAGCAGTGGTGGCATTTGCCACAATACATTTAGCACAGCGGTCTGCCTTTTATCACTGAGAGTTCTAAAAAGTTTGTCATCCCTGCTCTAGGGTAATACTAAATAGGAGATGAATAGGTGCAACAAAGTAGGTGAAACGTCTTTATTTTGTATATGTTAGAACTATTTAGCAATCAAAATTGAAAAAGGAGAAAAAAATTTAATGGGCACAAAAAGGAATTCAGTAAATGTTAGCACCATACAATAATATGATTTTCCCCTAAAATTCCATCATTTAAAAATAAAGATAATCAACAAATATTTAAGCTAATTTCATTATAATTTTGCAAGTTTAGCTCTTTATAGCCAACAATTTAAAAGTTTCATTTTTAAAAAATTTAGGAATAAAATAGTAGAGTAAGTAAATTTCAGGCAAATTCATATTGTTTTATTATAGTATATGTTGTATGAAAAAGGAAAATAATGACAATCTTAGGAGAATTTATAAAGCCAAAAATAGACATACGCTTTAGAGGAATTGACAACTTGTACCAGCAGATTCTTCATGTGACAGCAAAATCTGACTTGGGCAGACATAAGTTTATTTGTGTTTCTTACCCCCACTTACTGTTAATATTAATACATGGTACTGAAAACATTTTCATATATTTGTTTCCCCCATTCTGTCTCAGTCCCTTATGTATTATGAATTATATAGTATATGTACCCTATTACTTTATCTTGCAAAAATATCTGAATTTTAAAGCCTGTAAGGCCCAACAGTTCCAAATATAGGATAAAGAATATGAGTCAATACTTCACAAAATCTGAAACTTTTATGTTCCAAAATACAACAATTTTTTAAAAGGATATCCTTAGCCCATTGTGTCAAAGGAAATTAATACAATCGCTGGAAAGCTCTGTTAAATTTTTTGTAAAAGTTGAGGCCTGACCACTCACCATTTGCTGGGTAACCTGGTGTGAGAGGGTCCCCTGCGCCATTAAGATTTAAAATATTTCCACGCTGGACACCACCTCCAGGAAGATTCCAACCATCTGGATAGGATGCCACCCCAGGAGCAAAGTAATCAGCAGGGTCTGAGTACAGAATTACTCCTTTGGCCCCTGCCAGCTGGGCATTTTTAACCTAGAAAACACAATGTTCTTTTATAAGCTGTTTGCCTAGGTTTGATATATAAATCTCCAAACATACACTTAAATGAGTAGCTGAGATTTATCTTCAACCCTTTATTGTTCTGCTTGCAACAAGGGACATGTTACAGAGAATTGCCTTTTTCATTTTTCTAATTCACATTCTAAAAATGGATTAGCTCTCAGAACAGCGGATTTGGAAAATTCCTATGGCAGCAAGTACTTGATGTTTTCTTCCTCTATTCTAGAAGCACAATAAGCAAGGAGACTCTCAGGCCAGATTCCTATTTGTTCTATAGTCAAAAGGGAGTATTTCTGAAATTTCATTTCTCCTAAGAGGAAAAAGGCAACAAATCAAGTGACAGTAACTTAAAAAAACAGCTAAGTGAAAATTGGTTTCTTTCATTTTTTATAACAATACATATTCAAATGTAATTTAGCAAATATTTTTGGAGATAATATTTAAAACAAAGACATTGAGAGTTAACAAGAAACCTGGGGCACATTTCTTTGTGGCCACAAGAGAAAACTGCATAAATGGGGAAAAAAAAAAATCTGCTGTGTTTACCCTGGCCTACACCGGCTGAATTCCAGGGATCCAGGTACAGTCTAAAAGTACTGCCTATAAGCTGCTAAATGTGTTATCTCTGAAATGTGGGCGTTTACAAAATATGAGGGGATCATGGACCTCAGAAATAACTTTTTATATTGGAAGAGAAGGAAAGATGACCTTTACCTTATTTCCTCTAAAAATTTTCCCATATCTGGCAATCACAATCTTCCCAGAGCAATTAACCTTCATGTCCCGCTCCAGTTTAAAGAAATCTTCAATCCGTGCATAATTAACATACACTAGATCCCCCTGTTGAGATCAGGAGTGAGTTAGTATAAAACAGGACTCTCTGCAGGAGGGAAGGCTGATTTCTTTGAAAGACCATGCAAAGGGGTCAAACATGAGCCCGTATAAGAGATTCAAGGAAGAAGTGAATGTAAATTGAGAAAGTAGGTAATTGGGAGATGTAAGAATTAAATAATAAATTTTTTGTTATTTTTATTTTATAATCTAGATCGATAAATACTTTTTTCAGATCATTTTCTTTTTTAGTACATGTGTGTAATGTATAATGTGCACATTTCTTATGTGGAATTGGTATGTGTACGTGATGCATCTTAATTCTGTTTTTTCATCCTTTTTCCCTTCACTCTGTCCCGTTCTCCATCTCTTGATTCCTTCCCGTTTTTATGCATGTTGTTTTTAATCTTTTATTTAGCACCTATAATGGTGCAGAAGCACTCCCTCAGAAAAATGCACATAAACATAAACATTGCTGCATGCAATTCGAAGAGGTCAAGCTTCTAGGTAAAGAAGCCTTGATGACAGCTTTATTTTCTTCAGGGTGCTGTTATACATAGCAGTATAATGGGTGTTCACAGCCAACAGGGGAGGAAGAATGATCAGGTTGGCAGCTCTGGATTCTGTCATTAACAGGATCATGTGCAACTATTAGAATGCCTCTGAGTCTCAACATTCTCATTTGTAAAATGACATGCTGGCTTAGATCAGCAGTCTTGCATCAGTCTTGTTTCTCTAGTCTTTAATTTTGAAAAGTGATGTATGCATCCATATATTTTACACAGGCATCTAAATTTTTTCATACTTTAAGTATCTGCAGAGAATGTAATTTTAGCACACTATAAATATTAACATTTGTAGAAGCACATATAATTTTAGAAGCATATAATTTTTATATAAACAGAGGAATGTGAATACTGTGTGTACTTACGTACTGTTCAACAGCATCTATTTATTTAAACAAATACACGGACATGTTCTTCTCTACTGTCAGAATGCTATCACTCCTTTTCATCCTTGAACTTGTATTTTCGTCTCCCTTCCCCTGCAGCATTTTACTATAGAGTGTATTTAAGAGAGGTTCTAGGATGGATTGCCCAGATTCCTCCTCAGTGGGGGATTTCTTGCTTCAGCTGCAGAGAAGCTCTCCCTGAGTCCACTCCAGCTATGAATCCTGTAGGGACTGCCTCAGCTGCAGCCCCCTTGCCCAAGGTCACGCCACTTTTTCAGGTGCCAAACAGTTAACAACTTATTCAGATGAGCAAATAAAGATCTGGACATCTAAGTCCAACACAGGACAATTCTGAAGACTTTTTCAGAGCTCTGCTGCCCCTGAGCCAGCACTTTAGTGTGACTTTTTTCTCCGCAGGATCCAGCGGTCCTTTCCCTCCCTCTCACAGACATAGATTACAAGGGAACATTCCTCAATTATCATATAACATATCAAATCCCATTTCAAATTTTATTATCTTGAATCCAGGTATACTGGAAAGTCTTTTATTAATCACTCAAATTTCCTTAGGTGTTTGGATATAAATAAAACGTTTTAAAATATATTTCCTGTGTATTAAAAAAATGCTTCAGCAGTATGTTATCAATATTATACCAAAATGAATTTAGCATTCACTGAACATCTTTTAAGTAATAGATAACAAAATTTAACTAGAAATCTCTTAATGCAATGAATGGAAAGATAAAGCATTGTCTTATAGTCTACATGTGAATGCGTTATTGCTAGAGTTAGACAAGGATCAAAAGCAGTCTATTCACATTTCTTGTTTCTACATGTAATTTCTAAGAAAACTTGGACAGAAATGAAAGTTTCATTATGGAATTGCCATTACACGTAGCCAAGTCTCATCCCCCAAATCACACACTGACCTGTCAACCAAGTTGTTCTTAACATATCAGCTGGAAACTTAATTGGATTCACTTTTTATTTACAAAATGTCAGGCCAGCTAAAAAATTTGGGATCCAGCTATTAGAATTGTTCTCTCTGTTAACAGTGAGCATGACATTTCTAACAGTCTCTTTTTCTCTGGAGTCTCAGAGATTCTCACAAGGCAAAGAAATGCTTCATGTGTGTGATAGGATGGAGGGGGAGGCATCTTCCATTTGAAACCCAAGAAAAAAGATGACTGTAAATAGAGAGGTAAGGACAAGGTAGCTGCAGGGCCTCATCACAAGCCAATTCTTGGTTTCATTTTTGGGGGGCAGGTACCAGGGATCAAACTCCAGTCCTTGTGCTTTCAAGGCAGGCGGCAGAACCACTGAGTTAAACTCCCAGCCTCACAAGCTAATTCTCAACTCCAAGAAGAAAGAGTATACTGGGCAGCTGATAACCCATAAATGAATTTCCCTAATGAGTCCCACACGTGCCGTTGGTAGTTTTCATGCTTTCCATTTTGAAGCCTGTCCCAGATGCTGTCCGACATGATCTAATATTATTTAGTTACAATTTTCCTTTTTGATTACATTTTACATAGCATGTACATAATAATAAATTTACACCAAATACTAAAACAGAGTTGTTTCCAAATTAAATCTAAGATTAATTTGAAAAATTTGTTGAAGACATTATGTATCAGGGTTCCAGGCGATACAACAAATCCCTGCACTTGACAAATGTACATCAATGTGGATGGAGGACAATAAGTTACGTTTAATATCTGAGCAAATTATATAATGTATTAAAACTTGATGAATTCTATAGAGAAACTAAAATTAGTTTAAAAAGAATATGCAAACAATGAAATAGTACTTGAGTTGGTATAATTTTTTAATTAAGAAGGAAATGTTCCAAAAGTAAGATTTGAATTTTTGATTCTGTAATAGAAATACATTTTGTTTGTTTTTGTCTGTTTGTTGTTCAGATACAGGGTCTCTCTATGTAGTCCAGGCTGGCCTTGACTCACTATGCAGCCCAAGCTGGCCTCCAACTCACGGTGATCTTCCTGTCTTGGCCTCCCAAGTGATGATATTATAGGCTTACACCACCACACCTGGCAGGAATTTTTTTAGCTACTGTATCTTGTCCTAAAATCATTGCAATATTACTGCAGTATTAACAACAACAATGTAAGTCTGATTTACAATTGTTAGCTCACTCTAGAATTTCCTCCTTTCCTATATTAACAGCAGCTACAAAATTGCTAACCAATTAAATTTCAGGAAAAGGGTAAGTTTATCCTGAATAAATATCACTGACTTTTTGATTTCTTTAAATCTTACTAAAGTTGCTATCTTTTGATAAACTGACAATCCTCACAAAACAAATATGATGGAGAAGGGACTAGAGAAGACATTAGTTTGAAAATGACAGTAAACTCTGAAAATGAAAATGTGTGACAGATAGGTTCTCTTGTCACTTCTCAAAAGGGACTCCTCACTACTCCTTAGAAAAGAGCTTTGTTTGCAGACAATGGCCTTCTTGTAGGACGTACACTGTACCATTGTTCCACAGCTGTGAGTAAATATAATCTTGCAAAACTGATTTAGAATTTCTCCTGTTTCCTTCAAGCTTCCAACTTCCTGCCCGGTTAACAGAGATAAAATTGGGAACAAGCCGGTTCCCAAAGCCTGGCTTTAGGTAGGCCTTGTTAGACAGACTGTTAGCCTTCACATAGACTACTGAAACTCAGAAGACGGAAACCAGAATATGTGGCTTAAAAATCTTCCAAATTATTATGATACACAGTCAAATCTGAGAACCACTAGATTAGACCGCATCAACCTGTCAAAAGTAGAGTCCTGTATTCCACACTCCAGAGAAGTCAGAGATAGATTCAAAGATTACTCATAGTGAAATGTCTTAAACTCATATAAAAATATATAATTTACAAGAGAAGTAGCGCTCTATTGGCTGAAAAGCATACAAGCCAGAAATCTCAGCTGATATTTGAACATAAACAGCAATCCCACATAAAATAGTACACAGTGGTACCTCGGTTCATGAATTTAAGAATTGTGGAAGGAATTAAATTTGTGTATTGAGGTACCACTGTACTCCTCCAATCCTGTCATTAATTTGAAACTATTTAAGCATACTTGAAATAAATGTGATAATGAGCTCTATGATGCTGTCTTATGAGCAGAATAATTATATCGAAGTTTAAAAATTATTTGGTGGATATTAATTGGTTACTCAGGAAACCTACAAACTAGTCTAGGTAGAATTTTGCACTTTTAAGAAACTGTCTTCCTATCTGGAAGCATAATCTACTTCTACACACAGAATCTTTTTCTTGATCCATATATCTCCTAGTGTTTTTCTTTATTTCTTTTTCTTTTTTTTTTTCCCCCTCAATTCTTAGGATTGAACTCAAGGGCTTCTCATTGAGCTACATCCCTAGCCCACTTTTTATTTTTTCACTTTGGGACAAAGTCTTGCTAACTTCCCAGGCGGGGCTCTATCTCGTGATCCTTCTGCCTCAGCCTCCCTGAGTGCTGGGATTACAGGAGTTACCACACCTAGCTGATTGCTCTCCAACCAGCTAACACTCATCTAATATGATTTTAAAAGTGTATTTGATTTCATAGCTGTTTTAAATAAAATTCCTTCATTACATATTCTGGAGTCATGTATTATTTATCCATATATGTTTATCCAGTCTGATATTACTTAAATGAAGATTTTTTCATTAATATTTTGTACATTCTAGTGATGGAGATATATCACTGTAAATAATGGAGAGAATTAATAAAAAGACCCAAAAGATAAAAATGCATGGAAACAATTGGATAATATCATGATTAAGGATTTCTTTTCAATACAAGTCAACACAAAGTGAAGAGAGAGCTGAAAAATGACAAGAAGATATTTACAATATCTTAAACAAATAGGGAATAAATAATTAAAACATGTAAGAAACACATTCAACTTAACATGTAAAAGCCTAGAATTTTAATAAGAGAAGACAAAGGCTATAATTAATCATTTCAAAAAATGACAAGCCAGTAGTTAATAAATATGTAGGTTTAGTGATGCATGCCCTCCTTTGTGATCAGAAACACATGAGTTAAAGCAATAAAACAATTAAATGGGCAAAAATTCTAAAGTTATATATTTTGAAGAGCTTATAAACCTTGAGGAGGGCTGGGGATGTAGCTCACTGGTTCTGGCACCTGCTTCGCAATTGCAAGAACCTGAGTTCGAACCCCGGTACTAGAAAAAAATTAATAATAAACCTTGAGTAAAGAAGAATGCTTATTCACTATCATTGGAGTGTAAACTCCTACAGGCTGGATCTTTGGAAATGAAGGCTTCCCTTCACTGTTGAGATAATAGGGATTTAGAGATAAGATGTGTGATCACCACTAAGAGGTCGGAAAGTTAATTGCAGTGTGCAGAATATGAAATACTATACAACCATGGAAACTAATGACATACTTTGACACAAAGCCACACAGATTCTGAAAGTACTGTTGATTGCATATAGTGAGAAATCACATAAGGTCTACAGTATAATGGCATTTATACACATTCAAAGTGTATGTCACACACACACACACACACACACACACACACACACTACAAACATGTATTTTCAAGAACACATGGTGAGGCACATGGTGTGCCATAACCAGAAGAATGAAGCTAGGTAACATCAGCACACCTGATATTTAAAATAAAATAGACTCTCTTCATTTCCAGCTGATACACCTCTGTTTCTTCACCTCAATTATAAAATAGTTACAATGATGGCGAACATTTTTATACCAATTTTTTATTTGAGGTACTGGTGATTGAACATAGGGCCTCCCACAAACCGGAGAAGTTCTTTACCACTAGACTACATCCCCAACATTTACTTTACTTTATTTTTGCATGGGGTCTTGCTAAATTGTCCACACGGGGCTCAAACCTGCAATCCTCTGCCTCCACCTCCCAAATAGCTGCCTCACATGCCAGGCTTATGTGATAATTTTTAATGATCAAAAATCCCAATATTGTATTATTAAGTATAATGATAACTATTTATTAGAAATAAATTTCACATAGCTAACAGAAAATATTCTATTGCTTGTGAGATTTTCTTAAATTAGAAATACACTGATCAATTAGTCAGTCTGCAGTATTTTGTTACGCAAGCACAGATGAACCAATGCACTCAACAAGTGCCAAGTACTGTGCAGGAATCTGGAGATTAATTTTAAAAATTTAGATGATATACATGCATAGTTTATTGAGGAAATTGCCTAGAATTTTCTAGAATTGTGCTCTTAATTTGGAAATGAAGATAGTACCATTATGCAAGCCCTTTGCAATTAATGTTTCCACAATTATAGTAAAGTATGTAGGATATTCACAAAACAGAAATTATTTAGTAATAAAATAGAACAAATTACTATTAAATACTAAAACATGGAAATTTCACAGATTCTACACTTACTTAAAAAAGCCAGACCAAAAAATAGATGTCATACAATGCTATTTATGTAAGTTTCTAGAATAGGTAAAATTAATATATAGTGGCAAAATTTTGAATAACATTTGTTTTGGGGGTGTGTGAAGTTAAGAAGGGACATAAAGGAATATTTTGAAACAATGATAGTATTCTATATACTGATAGGGTTTAGATTAAACAGGTATATGTATTTGCTCACAATCAACGAAAGTATAAGTTTCTGAGTCTCACCGTGGTAAATTTCATCTGAAAACAGACGTCATGCACAGAAAAAAGGTCAATATTCCTTTTTCTTACTAAGAGGCTCTAGTTTCTTAAATGTGGGTAAAGGGTGAATTTGAATTCTGTAAAGAATCCTCTTCTTGCCCTTTAACTATGGCTGCACGCATGAGCAGAGAGGGGCTTCCGCTTGCCGTTTTACTTTCCTGTATTGCATGCTTACCTCTGGCACTCCTTGTGCAGAGAAGGCACTGAAAGGTGGTACAATGTCTGAGACATTTTCATACCCTGCAGGAGGTGGTTCAAATAGTGATGTGTTGAAAATCTAGAGAAACAAATACCATCATCAAAAAGTAAATCAGTGCAATCAAGCAAGGAAAAATGCAAACTATCTCTTGTGTCTGCAGACGGTTAATTAATCCTTCAGTATTTTGATAGCAGATATCAGATTCCCAGCACTGTGCTGGAAGCTGTGAGGAATAAAGGAGGTGAATAAATTTAGACCTGTTCTCAAAATCTATTTGAGACACAAATAAGCAACAAAACACAAAAACCAACAACTAGTTTTAACAAAGTATGGTGAAAATTTCATGAATAAAGGAAAAAGAAGTCAAGAAAAGACAGTAATCACGATCTTCCAAAGAGAAGAGCTGTGTCTTAAAGGAAGAATTAGCAATAGATTGGGGGTCAGCAAACCTTCCCCTCTGATTTAGATACAAAGTGCTTCACAGAAGATAGGGAGTAAATTCACCCAGGAGGTCCCTGAGAGAAGCTGAAAACACTAACTTTTGATTTAGTAAACAATAAAACAAAACAAATGCAGTATTTCATAGTAATCACAGTCACTTATAATAGTGCTAAAATTATTCCTTAGGAGCAAATTAAATATTAATTTCATCCTAACAAAAGAATTACACGGTTGGCAGATCCATACCCAACAGTAGGACACACTAAAAAGCATTTACAATGAATTTTTAAAAACCACAAAACAAAATGTGTATCAAAATATGTAAGTGTAATGTTGAGGTGGAAATACAAAAAGTTAGGAATAACTCAGAATTCAAAAGAAAAGGGAAAGAAAGACATCAAAGGAATCCTGAGAGCTGGCACTGAAGTATGTGCTGTCATCTGCATGTTGAGTGCCCTCAAGGTCCACGTGTTGAAGCCTTGGCTGTATTTGGAGGTGGTGGAACCCTAGGCCAAGGAGATGGGGGTTTGAAGGTGTCACTAAGTCACTGAAGGTGACTGTGCACCCCCGGCCTCTCCCTCCTTCATTCTTGGCTTTCTGGCCACAAGAGTTGGTAGCTGCTCCAGCACACATTTCTACATTAGGCACTGGCTCATTGGAGGCCCAGAGCCATGGGATCCCTTTGCAATGGGCTGGAAACTCCAGTGCCATGAACCAAAAGAAATCTTTTCTTTTGTAAATTAATTACCTCAGATATTTTGTTATAGTAACAGAAAGCTGACTGGAACACTGTGCTCCACCACTTAGTTGGATCTATCAAAGCCTGATGACAAACAAAAGGGATAGAGTAATTCAGAGAATCTGAAGTCAGTCCAAATAATGGAGTCTAACAGGAGACCCGTGCATAAGCCTGGTCTCCAAAGAAATATGTTCTCTACTCTTAATGACAAATTAGAAATAAACCTGTTCTACAGAAAGTGATGGTTGAGGGTAGAGGGGGTAGATCCAGAGCGTTCATAACCCTACAATTTTCCACTCACTACCTACGTGGAAAATAGTGCCTCAAGCTGAAAAATAACTACTTTAAACCAGCACCAGGTTTATGGTGTCCCCAGGCTCATCAAAAATGATCAAGGGGAACTAGCCTTAAACTTAGTCCTTAAAGAACCCTATGAAAGAACTCAGAGCTACAAATCACTAAATACATACAAAGTTCTACAGAAAAGACTGGGCAGAAAGAACAGAAAGTAATATCACATTTATAAAGACACACTCATCATAAAGATGATATTGAATTAAAATTTAAATGAAAAATAATGTGTGGGTAAAAAATAGACAAAGGTGGGAAAAATGTAAATATTTAGGAGATTTGAAGGAATAATACAGCATAAAGCACAGAATCATAGTAATAAAAAATATGAAAAAAATTAGCAGATCAAAAAATGAGACAAAATGAGAAGGTTCAAGGATACATGTAGCTTTCTAAAGAAAAATAAGAGAAAGAATATGAATATATAATGAATAAAATATTCCAAAAATGATAAAAATTATGCACTCTTTAGATTAAGGAGGCCCAGTAAATTCCAAAATGAATAATACAAAATCTACACCTGGTCCATCATAGAAAGCACCGCACCAATACTCACTATGACAATTAACTTTAGCTTTTCGTTATAAAGAATCAGACAGACAAGTGCAAGCCCCCCCCAAAAAAAGAATCAGATAGAATAAGGACACATTAACGAAAAAGAGATTTCAGCCAAATAATTTACAAACTCATACAAATATAAAATATTTAAACCAAAGTCAAATGATACATTTTTGTTTTCAGTGAAAAAAAGAACACTTTCAGGAACTGAGAAACATAGGCTCTAAAACAAACATCTAAAAGTGTCAAAGGTTACTGTCCCACACACTACATTATCTGATTAGGATATACTTAATTTATAAAGTAGACTAAACCAAATGATGCGGTCTTTAAATTCAGAAATTTTAAAAAATTTAATAATTTTAGAATCAAAGAAAAAACATGAAAAATATAACGCAACTATATATTAATGATAATTAAAATATTTCTGCCAGGGATTTAGCTCATTGGTTCCACTGCCTGCCTTGCAAGCCCAAGGTCCCGAGCTCGATCCCCCTTATAAATAAATAAATAAATATTTCTTATGCAAACTCATGAGATCTAGTTGAATTTGTTCTTGGAGGAAAATTTATAGCCTTAAATTCATTAGATGAAAGGCTGAACCTCAGTAAGTTTTCAAAAGGGGAAGCTAAAAAGAACAGCAAAGAAGAAAGACAAAAGGTAGCATAAGATGCAAAGAGGGTAGGAGAGCCAGTTATAAAGTAAAAACAAAATTTATAAAACATAAAGCAAGGATATATAAAAAAGATTGCAGAAGACAAATGTTTAATCAGAAAAATTAACATCTCTCTTTAGATTAATGAGGAAAATAGCAAAAGCACAAAAAATAATATTAGATATAAAATAAAGCATATCTACTGCTACTACACAGTTTTCAAACATTAAGAAAATATTAGGAATAATCATGGCCATAAATTTAAAAAGAGATGAAATGATTTTAGAAACATGAAAACTCTCAGGTGTGGTGCTACAGGCTGGTAATCCTAGCAAGAGGACAGAGGCAAATTCAAGGCCAGTCTGGACTACACAGTGAAACCACATCCAAGAAAACAAAAAGCAAAAACAAAAAGAAAGAAAGAAACCTCATTAAAAAAATGAGAACCAAGACTTGTCATGTAGAGGTACAAGATACCAACAATGAATGTAACTGTACTGTATCCCTAAAATGTACCAATAAACTCAATTAAAGCTGAAAAAAAATCTAACAAAATTTTATAGTAAAGAAACTAAATCAGTAGTTAAGATTTTCCACAAAATAGTGTGAAAGCCAACTGATTTTCCTTGCGTTTCAAAAACTAAAGAAAATATAAATGTAACACTACCTTCTCAAGAGATTACTAGAAACAATTCATTTACAAAACAAGCATAATACAGAATTATACCATAACAAGTAAATTGTAAAAAAAGGGGCTAGACATGTTATGAATATAAACTGAATATACATCAATATATTAATGTAAACTGAACATTGCTAATATTACAAATTCCAGCCATGTATAAAGTTAGATTAGCATTAGATTATTACTTAATGTTACCAGATCAAGAAAGAAAAATTGCATGCTCATCTAAAAAAAAAGTGCATTGATAGAATTTGACATAATCCATAGCAAAACATTTTATTAAACTTGGAAAGGAAGTGAATTAAGGTAACTTGATGAAGATTATAGGAAATATCAAAATTAGTGGTAAAACATTAACACCATTTCTTTGAGATCAGGAGAAAGTCAAGGCTACCAGTTATTAGTACTTCTGTCCAACATTCCCCATAGGCCCTGCCCAGTGCAGCAATACAGGAGCGGGAGTGAAGTTGGACTGATGTTACACCAGACCACACAGCACCAGTTTTCTCCTTTTCATGAGGCTGATAGGAACTCAAATAAAACCAGACAAACTGCAATCACTAAAATATCCCAAACCTCCAAATTCCTTATATTTTTCTGTGACCCAAACAGGGTACAACATCATCCGAATCATGGGATAAGATTACAAGAAAAATTATGCTAAGGTGCAGTGCAAACACATCTAAAAGCAGTTACAGCAAGAGCATATGAAGGCTAGTTTCACTGGATTTGTGGTAATCTTCAATTTTACAGCATCACAAAGAATTTTACCCAAACTTTTGAGTTAACAGCTAAAAAATATTTTTAAGGTCAAGGAAATTATTTTTTGGGGGGTGACTTTATCAAAGTTGGGTTATATGCCACTATTAGAGCATTACTCACTTTCCATGATTCATCCCAAATTATATATTTTGAATATAATTAAAACAACTTTCATTTACAAATTGCTATTTACTTTTCATCACATAACAGGGTGATATGAAATGGCTGACCCAAAAACAGAGTGCTGTTTAATTTTTTTAAAAACTTATTACAGTAAAAGACACACTGACATTAATCTCCCTCAAAATACTCTCACCCACTTACAGCAAAAACACTTATCCCATTATTCCTGCCTCTTTCTGAAACAGTTCTGGAAGTCCTCTTCTGTGAGTATTTTTAAGCGTTGTGGTCAAAAAACATAGCAAATGCTGCCACGGAATTTCATCCAGTGAAAAAGTAGGCCTGTAAGAGCCTCATGGTGTGTCCTCATCCACCTTATTCACCGGGCTTCTGAGTCTTCCACAAAGTCAGAATTGTCATTGAGGGGTTAACGTTTTGAATCAATGAAGCTCATCGAGGCAGCAATGACAGTGCAACTAAAGACTCACACACACACACACACACACACACACACACACAACATTACAGAACTGCTTCAGAAAGTGGCATTCTCTATGGTACCTTATTCTGAGTAAACGAAGATAAAACAATGTACAGTAAGGAAAACGGATTTCTGTAGGTTGTTGCGCTGTATGCTTGCAATCTCAGCATGCTGGGAAGCTGAGGCAGGAAGATCATAGGGCTGAAAAATTTAGTGACTTAGCAAGCCTTTACCTCAAGATAAAAACAGTAAATGAGATGGGGCTAAAGTTCGGTGTGAACTCAGCACAAAAACAAAAAAACAACAAAAAAGGAACGAATACTGGATTTCTAATAGGATTCATAGGTTACTAAACATATTTGTTGCCTGTGTGTGTGGGAACTTGCAAAGAAGAGAGTAGAAGGAATCACAGTCTATGTTATAGCTCAGCCCGAATAGTCATAAACAACAAACTATACTGGCAGAAGGGAGAGGGTGAAGAGAGCGTGGGTGATTCAGGCTGAGAGATGAACGTGGAGCTGAACTGTCACAATGTCACTGAGTAGAGCCAGCACATGAGATGAGGGCAATATTTTCATGGTACATGTTTGCAGCACATAATGATCACCTTCCTCATGGGGAGTTGGTATGTGTACATTATACACCTCAGCTCTTTCCTCATCTTCTCCTCTCTTCCCTTCTCCCTTCTTCCATCTCTTGATCCCATTCCCAAATGCAAAATATCTATCTCTCTAGTCCCGCTTAGCTATCTTTCATTTTGCTATTTATGCTTTGGGTTTCTCATATAAGAATAACCATGTAATGCTTAAGTTTGTGTGTCTGATCTATTTCACTTAATATTATGGTCTCAAGGTGCATCTATTTTCCTATAAATGACTCAATTTTTTTATGGCACAGTAGTACTCTATTGTGTATAAATACCACATTTTCTTTATTCATTTGTTGATGGACATATAGGCCACTTTCAAGATTTAGCTACTATGAGTTGTTCTGCTATAAACATGGTTATGTATGTATCACTGTAATCTAATATCTTTAGCCTTTTTTGGAAGATAACTAGAAAAGGAATAGCTGGGTTGAAAGGAAATTCTAATTTTAGTTTTCTGAGTAATCTCCATATTGATGTCCATAGTAGTTGTACTAGTTTACATTCCCACCAACAATGGAGAAGGTTCCTTTTGCCCTGAAGCCTCTCCAATGTTTGTTATTATCTGGTGGTAACCAAATGGTGATTTGTTATCATTTGACAGTAGACATTCTTTCTGGTATAAGATGGAATCTTAGTGTTATAACTCGCGTTTCTGTAATGGGCAGAAATGTTGAACATTTTTCATGTATTTATTGGCCATTTGTACATTTTCTGAGGAGGGTGTGTTCATTTCAATTTCTCCTTTAAAGATTGGGTCTTTTAGTTTTGGGGGGGGTCTAAATTTTTTTGAGTTCTTTATATATTCTAGATATTAGTCCTTTGTCCAAAGAACAGCTGGAAATTTTTTTCCCAGTTTTTAAAAGAATACTTTTAAGTTTTGAAAAATATTTTGTTTTGTTTTGGTTTTTTGAGACAGGGCCGTGCTATCTGTTCAGGCTGGCTTGAGTTTACTCTGTAGCCAAACTGACCTCAAACTCACAGTGATCCTTCTGCCTCAGCCTCTTCTTGCCTCAGCCTGCTGACTGCTGGGATAACAGGCATGTGCCACCATGGCCAGCATAAAACTGTTCATGCTTTTGCAAAGTTTAATTGTTAACCATTTTCATTTAAAGTAGCAGTTAACATGGAAAGCTCTAAATCATATAAAGTAATTTTGCATGGGATTATATCAGTGATTGAAAAACATTAATTATCAAGATGAGACTAATACATTGTCAATAAGATGAGGATAGGTGCATATTTTGAAAATAACTGAATATTCAAATCATATGACATTTTCAGTTCACTGATTAAGCCGGGCATGTTTGAAACTATATATAATTTAGAAGGTTTAGTAGCAAAAGGCCTGAGGGAAGCTATCTAGATGAAAAGAAGCAGTGCTAGATAGATATTGAAGCCTCAAATCCAAGTAGGGGTGAATAGTTGAATTAAAGTTTATGAGTTTTCACAGGGAACATGTATCGTGATAAGAAGTATCACAATTATCTGCTGTCTTCTTTTCTCTCCAGCATGTGCCCTTAACTGCATACAAGATCATAAATTCTTTAGAGTCTTTAGAGTAAGTATCATTCTATAGACCTTCCCTCAAAACTGCCTTCGAAATGCCCGCATACAAGTTTTTGGCATAGACGTGAACACTGGGCCTCAGGAACATAATCATTCATTGCTTCTTGACTCTCTGGCTAAGATTAAGTAGAAACATAACAGTTAATGACCAATGAAAATCTGCTTTCGGACCTGTACAATGGGTTTCTGAATAGTCTGGCAACTGCAAACCTATGCAGTCTTCACAGTATAAGCCTAACAACATACAACCTTATCAAACCCTATCTAGTTTAGTTGCTTGGAAGCTTGCATCATAATAAAAAGCTGGAAACAGTAACTATCACCAAGTATTCATTTCTCAGAATATTCTCAATATCACATTCAATTAAAATATCATAAGAGAGCAATGAGATATTTAAGAGTAATGAAATATTATGATTATTATTCCCAGGCTCCAATAATGTTTATTTCCATTAATATTCCACAGTGTGATGGGGTATTTTCTTAACAAGTATCTGAAAGAACAGACTGAGGAAAGATCTTTCTTTACCCCTCTTGCTCTTCATCTTACCTCATGCCCACCTTCAGTGATTACTGAGATGTAGTTGGGATGCGTCTCATTTGGGTAGGACAACAGGACATCATAATGGGCTAACTCAACAGAATCCAGGCCAAATTCTTTCCACTGGGATTGAATTTGCTTTGCAAGCTCAAAGTTTTCTTCTGTTCCTGCCAAATGTGGTACTTGTGTAAAATTACTGGTGAACAAAAGTTGAAAGTGGTTAAAAATTAATGTGTAGTCAGCCCTTATTCCAAAACAACAAAACAAAACTTCCCCTTTTATTATGCCTATTGTTCATATTTATAGTAAAATAAGTGCAAGAGACAGAGGAAGGTTTTCCACAAAGCAAAAAAGTTTAAATTCAAGGCCTGTCACTTGAAGGGTCCCTTCCAAAAACCTGGGAGGTGCCATAGTAGATTTTTATGTACAGCTTAATTCTGCTGAAAATTAATATAGATGTGAATGTGTCTGGATGACTGTGTACACATATTTATGGCACACACATAATATACATCATATATATGGAATGGTCTTTTCTTTTTCTTTCTTTTTTTTGGGGTTTTTTTGAGACAGGGTCTCACTATGTAGTTGAGACTGACCTGGAACTCACTATGTAGCACAGGCTGGTCTCAAACTCACAGCAATCCTCCTGCCTCAGCCTCCTGAGTTCTGCGATTACAGGCGTGAACCACCATGCCTGGTAATGGAATGGTCTTTTCTATAAAATTACAACTTGTCTTCATTTAGGAATCTTTCAATCACTAAGTGGATTGCAAACATTTTTAGACATAGGCACTATGCTAGTATTAAACAAAGACTTCATACTTTAAAAACTAAGCATTCTGATCAATTATATGCAAGTATTTTATTTTTAGTTGCTTTGTAAATATTTTTTAAATTTAGTAATTTATCTCTCCCACTTTACACTATTCAGGAAGCAGGAATAATTTTTTTTTGGTACCACTTCCACTTGTGAGGCAGGTGGCAAAATAAATTTGAAACTATACTAAACGTGCTCTCCAATTTCATCTTTATCACAGCAGTATGGTTATTCCCATTTATAGATGTGGAAATAAAGGCTCAGGAAAGTAAAATATTCACCCCAACTTACTTTACTAATTAATTAATAAAGATGGAATTCAAACTCCTGTCCAACTCTAAAGTTTTTTTTTTTTTTAACTAAAATGCATGCTCTTCCTTGAAAGCTCAAGTCAGCAAATGAAGCTCCTCAACCAAATCTGGTGAGCTGCCTCTTTTTGTAGTGTGCAGCCTAAGAATAGTTTTGACATTTAAATAATTAAAAAAGAAAGAAGAGTATGGGGCTGGGGATTTAGCTCAGTGGTACCGCTGTCTGCCTCTCAAGCATAAGGCCTGGTGTTTGATTCCCAGTAACAAAAACAAAACAAAACAAAAGACCTAGAAGAACATCATTGTGCGGGATGCCAATATATGAAATTCAAATTTCAGTGAACATAAATAGTATCTTGTCAGATTTTACATACTTATCTGTTGTATTTTCTAGGGCTTCAGCTATAGCAAAACTGAGTAGTTAAGACAAAGATCAGCTGGTCCACAAAGAGAAAAATGTTGCTGACTCTTGCTCCTGAATATGAAATATTAGATTCAAAGTTTGAACAGAATGGTACATGTTCCAAATGAACTGTGCATATAAACTTTCAAGTATATGCTTACTACAGGAATGCCTTGATGTTCTCAGCTTTCAACTCATTCAGAAATGCCTTCTTCATGCCATACTGTGGAACATTATTGGTAGCTTCATTAGAAGACTTTATAAACCACCCTGTAAAATGAATCAAAATCCAGAAATAAGATACGAGCACACAGGATAATCTTATTTTTCCTAATTATTGACTTTAGCACATATAAAACATAAATTATCAATTACCTATGATTTTCTGCAGCTTAATTTCCCTTTCCTATTTCCACTGAAAAAAGATGATGCAAAGAGATCTTTCTTTCTTTCCTTCTTTCTTTCCTTCCTTTCTCTCTCTCTCTCTCTCTCTCTCTCTCTCTCTCTCTCTCTCTCTCTCTCTTTCTTTCTTTTGGTACTGGGGATCTTTCTCTCTTCTCTCTCTCTCTCTCTCTCTCTCTCTCTCTCTCTCTCTCTCTCTCTCTCTTTCTTTCTTTTGGTACTGGGGATCAAACTCGGGACCTTGTACTTGCGAGGCAGGCAGCAGAACCACTGAGCTAAATCCCCGGCCCGATGCAAAGGGATTTTTAAATTATACAAACAAGTACAACATATTTTAATACAATTTCAGTGATACATGTTGTTATTCTAAGAAATGTTTTTATGAGGAAATCAGCATGTATGGTGTTGCCTGCTGAGCATTCTGGCACATGCCTGTAATACCAGCATTCAGGAGGCTGGGGCAGAAGGATCATCATAAGTTTGAGGCCAGCATGAACTATATAGACAGGCTAAGGCAAGCCTGAACCTCACAGCAAGACTGTATCTCAAAAAAACAAAAACAAAAACAAAACAAATAAATAAATAGATTGCCACTTATAGAGATAAACAAGACCTTTGGACAATGATGGTTAAAAAAGGAGATCTACCTTCTTCCTCCAGTGATTGCTTATTTGTTGACTTAGAATACACATTTGATGAATGTTTATAATGAATTAATTGTGAACATATTTCAAGTTCATACATTATTTCACAGAATTGATAAAACTCAAATGCTTAATTTGCTTTGGTTCAAAAACTAAAATTAAATTGCTAAGATTTTGTGTTTCCAGTCAAAATAGGCTTGAAAAGTTGAAGTTCAGAAAGCCACAGTGAAGTTACAATTTACCCAGCATCTCCACAAAACATTCAGTGAGCGCCCAATGAGGCCAGAAGCAACGGAATTCCAGATCGTGCAAACAATTAACTTCCACGGTTTGCTTCAGATCTGAGGGGTGGGGGCATTATTACAGGGTCTCTAGATAAATTATGTACTCTGGAAATAAAATTGTTACAAACTCAGCACCCAGTCAGCTTTCATGGAGCTTTCCAATTACAGTTCATTATACACAAACTTACATGCATATAATCATGCATACTAAAATATGTGATTGCACGGAAGGTTTGTATGATTCCACCTGTGCATCAAACTGAAGTACTTGGATGAGACTGTGGGATCAGGGAAGACACTGAGGATGGGATATCTAAACTGAGATCAGAAAAATGAACCCAAAGAAGAGCACAGAGGCTTATTGGGCAGAGGAGAATAGAAAATCCTAAGGAAATAGGAAAAAAAAAGAAAAAAAGATAAGGAATCTATTGTTTCAGCCACAACAGTGGGTTAGGGTGAGTGAGAGAAACGCCAGAACGCCTTTTAGACACATACAGGAGGTATAAATAGCACGCAAACCTTGTTAACTCTTAATTCCCATTTTTTCATTTAATAAAATGGAAACTCAATTTGCAACATATTCTTTTTGAGCACTATCTCATTTAAGCCAGCAGCAATCTTGGGTGGCTACTAATCCTTATGTTGGAATTTTGTTTTGTTGTTTTCCAGTACCGGGGATCAAAGTCAGGGCCTTGTGCTTGCTAGGCAGGCGTGGGGTCACTGAGCTAAATCCGGGGCACATATGTTAGTTTTGAGGGAGTGTATGGCTCAAAAATCTTTTCAGGATTCCGCAGTCACAACACCATCTAGCAGAAAACTGAATTTAGATCAACCCGAGTAATCCAGGCCTTGGTCTTCCGCATCTGAGGGAACATTCACAATTCACAGCTGTAGATTACCCGGTGAAGCGTTAGAGTCAGAAGCATCTGCTTATCAAGAAGAAATGACGTGCCAAGAACCTCAAAACGGGGTTAAGAGTGTTGCATGCTATTTCATTTACTATGCTCAGTAAGAGATAGATATTGTCCTCATCCCGAAGACCGGGAAATTGAGGCTGAGACTCGGTAACTTGTTCGAGAAGTGGTGGAATCAAACTTAGAATTCAAGAGTCTGAGCTTGCTTGGGCTGCTCAGGTTGCTTGCAGTTAAATCTGGAAATCAGTACATAGGAGGCAACACAGACGCCCTAGTGCTACGGATCTGTTCTCAGCGCTGACAACAACCCGACCCACTTCTCAAAGGTGCCTCTGCTCCCTCCGAGGTCAGAATGCAGCAGAAGCTCCCACAGCAGCAGCGCCCAGAGTTCCACCGCACTCCGGAGACCGAGCTAAAACTCCTCAGGGAGGTCAGAGCCGCCCCAGGCAGTGCTCCTGAGCGATCGGGTTCCCAGCCCTAGAAATCGCCCCTGGTCCTTGGGATCCAGCCCCGGGAACCCTTCCGAGTTCAGTTTCAGCTTTGTCCTTTCTACTCCGTAGCCCGTGCGGCTCTGTCCCACAACAGCTTGTGCAAAACTCCTCGACACTCCTGCCCGGCGACCCTGCGCCCACCTCGCGGAGACACGGCCTCACCGTTGCGCCTCCCCAAAGCTGTCCCGGGGACCCCGCGGCAGGGCCCCGCGCCTACCGAAGAGAAAGCCCAGCAGGAGGAGGCCGCACGT